GCAGGCGCTTCTCTCCGGTAGCTGGAACGGGCGGTGCGGGAGGGGGCTGGTGCGATCCCACAGGTTACGGAGCTGCCTCGTCCGTCCGAAGCGGGTGTCCGCGTGAAAGCAGCACGAGGGCGTGAGTGACCCGCGGGGCGTCGTAGGGCACGAGGCTGCGGGACGCGTTCTGCTGGTCCTGAAGAGGAGACCTTGCTCTCGAGGTGGCAGCAGATGCGTTGAGCCGTCAGGGTGCCCGTGCGTTCTGCAGAGCGCGCTGAAAAGGAGGGGTTGGCAGCAGACCCCAGCCCCCCGTGTCCTCTGGTCGTTGGGACGTTGCGAGTCGTGACAGAGGCCGACAGCAGTTCTGAGGTTCGGAGCAGGCGTCCTCCTTAGGGGACCTCAGGTGGCTGTGGAGCGGGGATGTGCTTTACTGCAAATCCTCCTTACTTTATTGGGAACCTAGTGATGGTTGGAGGAGTTCTTACATTTTATTTAAAGTCTGTAATTAGGTTTAGTGACTAGTGCGGAGAATTGTGAGTAAGCAGCTCCCATCTGGTTAAAAAAAAAATCAAATAGTGTAATTTCTCACTCTGGTATTGTTCCTGTACAGATAGGTGTGATATTAACCTCTTCAGGACCAGCTGCCTTTAGTATGGTGATGTTGTCTTTTAGAGATGTAAGTACTGACGTTTTCTGGAAGAATATCAGGGTAGGACATGCAAATTTTGCAAAAGACTATTAAAGCTCTTTAGCAGCCGCTGGGAGGAAGAATGAGACTGTTCCCAACAGATAAGTTTCAGCTGTGTGTTCGTTTCTGGCAGTTGTGTTCTTCTAATGAAGCTCAGACAGAAGAACTCGCGTTTCAGCTTTAATTTGCAAACCACACGGACATCAGCATCTTCTCTGATTTCATGTACAATTCACAAAAATCGTCACGAGCTTTCAGGAGCCCAGAGGTCTTGGGCTGTGCAATTTCCCTATATTGCTTTGGCACTGCGTTGGTCTTTTGGGCTTCTTTGCCTCCTCTTTCCATGTGCTTTTTTGTTCCAGCTAGTCTGTTTTCATTTTCGTTCGGGATGTGGCGTGCCAGAGGCCTCACCATACTAAAGCATTTAAGAACTTTCCATCATTGTGAACTCGAGAAAACAGGCTGATAACATCTAAATCCCTTAATCTTTCTGAAAACTCGGAGTTTATGAGGTTATACATGGTATTGCTTTTCTTTTTTAAACTGGCAGCACCTTGTGTGAGCTGTCTTGGGGAAAACACATTTTTGTGGTGGAAGGAAAAGAAGTGCAGGGGAGCCATCCGTTGCGCCTGGTTTTAAGGACCGTGTTGTGTTTCAGGGGCCTTGCACACGGGAAGCGTTTCTCAGCTGAAGTGCTGAAGCCTTCGCGGCTGCCAGTGAAGGGTGTAGTGGGACAGTGTCCCAGCGGCGTAGCCCACGGCGGTGCTGCGCAGGGGGTTAGGGCGGGAAATAGGAGAATTTGAGGAGGAGTTTGTGTTGAAGTACTGAAAAGGAGGTAGTCTGGAGAACGAATGGTATCGTTCATCTCAAGAGAACGTCAAGAAATGAAGCTTCTACTCTGAAACTGAGCCGTGCCAGGGTCGCCCACCACCGCGTTGCTGCGTTACCCGTTAACTGAGCGCTGCCTGCGTCATCTCGGGCGCGTCCTCGTGTGGTGCTTCTGTCCTGGCTCTGCGGTGACAAGGCTGACTCGTACGTCATTTCTTGTCTTAAAATGTTTCGGTACGAAGTGGCACGTTCTCAAACTCGGGGGTGAGGGCTGGAGGCTGTGGTGAGTGGGGGTGTTTGTTCACCCTCGACCAGCGGGGGAAACGCTCGAGCGTTACTGATGGCTCAGAAAGGCGAAGCTTCGATAGCCAAACGTGTCTCGTTATCTGCGCGCGGCCTGCTTGCGGCAGCTGCTGTCTTCAGATAGGGGCTCCGGTCCCGTATCTCTGCCTCCAAAGGCAGCTTCACCCGCAGAGCCACCCTCGGAACAGGGCTTCCACCGGAACAAAGGGAATTACCGCAGGCCCCCAGACTGCAGTGACGCCTAATTCCAGCAGAACTTGTGAAGCTGCCTTGGGCACAGATTACTTGGGTAACAATTGCAAACATCCCCTAGAAGTAGCGCTGCTGAAGTAGCTCGCTTCAGGAAGAGAGCTTTCCTTCAGAGAGACCAACAAAACCTGAATATGGAAGCGCAGACTCTTGAGTGATGGGCTGCCTCGCGCTCGTGCTTCAGTCAAGAGCTTGTGGACAAGTGTGAGGGGGACAAATAGAGAATCTTCTTTAAAAATAAACTACTTCTGCAGGTAGACACCCGCTGCAGTGTCACTGCTCAGTGTGTAGTGCTGTTTCACATTTCCAGCTTAGGCGCCTCTATATGATCTGAGGGAGCTTAATTTTAGCCATTTTCAGTGACTTTGATCTGAGCTTTATCCTGGTTCATTGGACTAAGTTAGCAGCTAATCATTGCCTGGGGTTTTGTACGTGTGGTGTCTTTTTGTGGCTCGTCTGCCGTCTCCTTGCTGCCCTTCTTGCTCACGTGCAGTCCTTCTGGTGGCTCTCCTGCTGCTTTGCACCTTTCCACATGTCAGTGTGAACAAGCTGGGTCGTGTTTAGCGCTCAGACAAGATGCTGGAGGTACCAGATACTGCCCAAACAGCTATTGTGTCTGAAATTTCCTGGAACAGGCTCAAGACCTCAGGTTCTATTTTCCACATGGATGAATGTGTCGGATTTTTTGTTGAAGTTCTCTTTCACAGTCTGTACCTTTAACTGAATTGTCCTGGCTCTGTTCTCAGTTGAAGGCAGAAGGCCTAAGAGAAGCTGTGAGGGTACGCAGGGGAGATGTGGACGCTCGTGGCTGGTTCTACTTAACTTTCGGGGGCCCTTCATTCTTCAGCTCCTTGAGGTTGTGTGCATGACGTGAGAATTAACAGTTGGTGGGTTGCCTGAGACGCTTGGATTGCGCGGTGTTCTCCAGGACAGACGAGATACTTCTCTTCCTCGATTAGGAAGGGCTGTTTTTCTGTACTCTGTGTATAAAGCTGTCGTAAGCTGCACAGCATCTCCTCCAACGGATTTCTCGTTGTGTTTTTCTTTCTCAAAGGTACACCACAGCCAACGCCGAGTCTGATTACGACCGGGAGTCCGAGAGAGAGAGCGAGGAAGGGGAAGATGAAGTGAGCTGTGAAACAGTGAGAACTGTGCGACGGGATTCCCTGGATCTCGTCAACGAGGATGAAACACATTTAATCTTGGATTCCTCGCTGGAGGAAGGGCTGGGTCAGCTACTGCAGCAGGCGGACCGCTTGCACAGCGGAGATGAGCAGGAGAAGAGAGAGGGCTTCCAGCTGCTGCTGAACAACAAACTGGCGGTAAAGGTTGCCTTTTTATATTTTCCAGCAGTGATTTGTGTTTTCAGCTAAATAGCTGGGGAAGAGGAAATTGTGTATCTTAGCAGGGCCCGGGTCCTGCACAACAGCCGGGCCAGCTTCCAGCAGCCCCTTCCTCGGGAGCAGCTTGGGAGCGGGCCGAAGGCCAAAACTGTTGGGGCTACAGCCAGTTCCCGGTCGCGCTCTGACTTGGAGCGCTGTGTCTCGTCGTGTCATCGCCTGGCCTGAGCGAGCACACTGTCCGTGTGTGAGGTGACAGCGGGGGGGAGTGTGCAGGGAACTCAGCAGGCGTTTTGCAGATGGCTCGAGCTGTGCTGGGGAGACGCGGTGCTCCCGCGGGCTGCCCGGTGCGCGGGGGTGGTGGCTCCCAACGCGCTGCAGGTTCGAGGGTGAGGCAGCGCTTCCGTGCGGGTTAGCTGCTGAGGTGAAAACCCTGGGTGCTGCAGGGGTTTGGCCACCCTAGCGGATGTGTCTCGTTATGTGGTATAGGCGTGTGACTCGATCCCCCGATCCGGTGAGCGTCGGTGCTGCCGTGGGGGCGCAGCGAGGGGCAGGGACAGCTCTCCTCTGGCTGTTGCAGGGAGCCTGCCGCTACCTCCGGCCACACGCAGTGGTGCAGCTGGCACTAGAACGTGTCTTGCTGCAGCTGTGGTGACCTCCAGCCGCCAGTGCAGGCGTGCCTGGGCCTGCTGCAGCTGCGCCGGCAGCCTCTGCGGTGTCGCCGAAGGGCTGCAGAGCCAGCACGGAAAACGTTCTCCGTTACCTGCCTTCTAAAGAGCAAAACCTTTTTGGCTCCTGGGTTTCCAGGAGAAACAGAAGGAAAGAAGTGACACATAACTTGACCAGTTCTAATTTCAAGTCGGCTGGGCTTTTTACCTTCTCCTGGGAGAAATGACAGGCCTGTCAGCTTCCGAAATTCTCTTGCGTGCTTCTTCCTCGTGATTCTCCCGCTTCCTTGCAGTTACAGTACTGTCACAAAAGAAACCAGACTGTTGGGTGGTTGTGTTTTAATTTCCTACTTTTTTTTTATTTTTAAAGTAAGATTGTCAGAACATAACCTACTTCAAATTCAGCAGCACACCTACGGTACTGCCGCAGGCTTAAGAAGGAGGCAGGCTGTGAAGCTGTTTGAACGTGGACTGGAGTATGAAAAAAGTAAAATTCGGTTTGTGAATTTTAATGGAAGTGGTGAGGTTTAGGGTCATTTCCCACACCCCCCCCCAGGGTTTTGAGGTTAGTGGAGACTGCTGAAGAACTGACCCCAGTGTGGCCACTGAAGTGGAGGGGTTCCTTGTTAGAAGGTGGCAACTATCAGACCCGTACCGGTAGCGTAGCATTGTAAGCTCGATTCCACATTTGGCCACCGAGTTTGCTCTCCTGTGGTTCTGCTTCCGTTCTTGCAGAGTTGGGGCCTTTTAAGGTCTCAGAAAATAACCTGTGTGACTTCTAGTGTATGCCCCCGGGTGATTGGTCTTTCTCATGCCCTTCGTCAGCGGCAGAACAGTCTCATACAGAACATCTGTGTTTCGCTGCAGTATGCGGACCAGCAGGACTTCCTCTGGCGCCTGGCCCGAGCCCACGGCGACATGTGCGAGGTCACGGACGACGCGGATGAGAAGAGATCCTACGCGGCCGGCGGTAAGGGGGAGCTGGATGGTGGAGGCGATGGCGGGGGGGTGCTCAAAGCTGACAGTGCTCGTCAGATTTATAAACCCTACACTTGCAAACAATCTGGTGGGTTCTTTTTTTTCCCCTTGTAATCTTTTTTTTCAGGTGAGTAGCTAGCAGTGCCGTGGGGGTATGTGTTTAAAATTTTGACTTTCTGAAGGGTAGTATAGGTAGACCAAGGGCTAGTTAAAAGTGTAAAAGTTTGGTTCTCAAACCTGTTGTTCATATCCTGTGTGGCGTTAAGGTAAGTAAGTTTTGGCTGTAACGCATTGAATTTTTTGTGTTGCTAACACAAAAAAGAAATGTATTTTTAAATGTGCATTTACTCAGAGGAAACAGTTTAGTTTCGTTCCCTCATTGTTCTTCACTGTCCCAAGTGTGGTTCGTTTGCAAGATTGCAGGTGGGTCAGAATAAGATAAAAAAATCATCTTTGTCACAGTTAAGGTGTGCGACAGAAGATACTCTTCTGAATAATTTCTGTCCTGTTTATTATGCACATAACTAGATATAGTTAGTTAATACTCTAATATAATTATTCTTTTCTGGAAAACAGTGTAGCTGTCCAGAACATGAAATTTTAAGTTTTGTTTTATAGTCCTTTGAGCCTTCAGAGGGCACTTAGTGTTCAGGTTTTTGAGACTGCAGGTCCTTGGAGGAGTGAGGGGGAGGTGGGGCCGGTCCTAGATCTGAGGCTGTGAAACGCCTCAGAACAAACCCACTGAAAGCTCCGGTTCCCTTTTCTTACCTTGGTGCGGAAGGTGTTTTCATTGCTGAGAACTGCGCTTCCAAACGAGGTGAAGCCACGTTGACAGGTCAGCACAATCTGCTGCCGTACCACAACGTTGTGTGATCTCCTCGAGTGGTCTTGGATGTTCCCTGTCACTGCAAGAGCTTGAAATTATTTACCAGACATTTTCAAGCCAAATGTATTATAAAATGAACAAACATATGACTTCTGTGCCGTTCTATTATTGTACTCTTAACAGCCTCAAAGAAAGAAGTTAAGAGAGAAAGCGGCTGAATTTCTTACCTCTGACCCCTTGTTTGCAGGGAAAGACGAGATGGAAACTGCCTTACAGAAGTGGGACCAAAGTGCTGAGTGCCATCAATGGTATGTAACTTCTCACTTCTTGCTTTACAAGCATGGGAAAAGGACTCGAGAGTGTTGTGAGCTGAGCTCCATTTAAAAAAGGGAAAAAAGGCTTACTTGCTTTTGCTGGGCATGTACTACATTTGTGTTATTTTCGGTAAAAAGCCATTTTTAACAGCATTGGTGAACTGGCATAAGTAATGGCCTGTCAGACAGTAGGTTTGGTTGTGATGATGACAATAAACGTTGCCTTGCTTACGCCAGTTTAATTATGAATTTCTCCCCGAGACGAGATGGCCAGAAGCGTTTGTGAGCGAAAGCTCCCGGGTAGAATAGTGAACTTCTCTGGCTGCTCGGAACAGGTTGTATCAAGGCTTCTGAGAGTCTGCACCTGACAGGCCGGTGAACTTCGGTGGTGGTAGTGAAGGACGAACTTCCCGACGAGGCCTGGACAAACCAGCTGTTGCCAAAAGGAGTTTGAGACGGAGGAGGGCAGTGAGCTCCGTTGGGTGTCCGCCAGGCCAAATGTAGCAGACCAGGCTGCGTGTCCTTTGGGCTACGCACGGCTTAAGCGCGTATACTTGGAAAGGGTGAAGTGAAGGAAAGTTTATTTAGAAGATTTCCTGGGAATTGTGCAATTTCCCTTTCCGAAAGCGGCAGTAATTCGCTCAGCAGCTGCCTTTCGGCCCCACGTGTGCGCCTGGGCGGGATGCTGCGAGCCTCTTGGCACGGGAACGAGCCGAGCGCCGTCGGCCGCGCGCTCGATTGTGCCGACCCTGGGAAAGTGTGTGTCGGGGCGCCCGCTCCATGCTGGGGGGGGGTGGGCTGCGAAAGAACGCGTCTCACGCCGATAACGTGCAGAAAGCTCGTTCCTGAGTTGGAGAGCTCCGGGGGGTGAGGCTGTCTCTGTTTTCTTTCGCGAGCCCTCTCCTGTCTTTGGCCCCCTCGGCCCCCTGTAGAGCCGAGCTCGCAGCCGTGGGGGTGAGGTCTTAGGAGGGATGTACTGAACATGAACGAGGTTTTTCCTGTGCGTCCCTCCAGCGCTCTGGGGTTAATGGTTGGGTTTTGCTCTGTTGCTGACATTTCGATACCGCCCTGCTGCGCAGAGATGCTTGCTTTGTGTCACGGGGCGATACATTTGCCTGTCAGCTAGGCCTGTGAGCGTGGGCTTGGTGCTGGGCCAATGTTCTTATGTTCATCCTAATTCTGGAGTAAGTAGAAACGTCATTCTTACCAGACAGCCTTTTACAGCCTTCTGGAGAGTGTCTTCTGGCCTGGCACTGCTGTCTTCTGCCCGTGATGCTGCCTGTCGCGCTGCAAAGCACTCTGGCTTTGAAATGACTCGAGATAGCAGCATAGGGCTTTTTTTTAACAGAGATATTTTATATATTTTCATGATAACAGATGAAATGATCTGCAGTTTAGCCGAGCGAGGGGAGCAGTGTTTGTGTAAATCCTACAGCTGGTTAGGATGTCAGTGAGGAGGCTGGCGGGAGGGAAGGTACCTGCTCTCTTCAGCAGCCTGAATGGACAGGCTTTGGTGGCAGCTCATGTGTGGGACTGAAAGGATGGCTCTCCTGTTTCAAAAGCACACCAAGGGTTTGTAGAGTGGTACGGGTGTTTGTAGGGGTACAGGAGTGCGCTTTTCTGGTGTTCTGGGGAATCCCGTGATGGACAGTGTTTATCAGCAGGTACTCTGAGGGACTGACAACATGTAAAATAGAATGAAAGAGAAATGCTTTTTTAAATGGAAGTTACTGGGAAAACAGGATGCTGAATATCTTTACTGAATAAATAAATTTATTTTACTCTGGTGCCCTAGCTCTTGATTTGTGGAGAATTGAACAGAGAATTATTCACACTTCCTTTGTAAATTCTGGTTTTATTCTGCTGTGCTTCTCTCTTCAGTGCCTGTTTCCCTCGCTGAAGAACCCTGATCTTTTGTTATCTCTTTTCATAGGCAATCATTTCGCTAGCTCTTGTCACCCATGTTGTCTTTCCCGTGTTATTCTCTTTCTACCAGATCTCTTTTCAGACAAAAGTGCAGGAATTCCCTGCAGAACTCCAGTTGTGGCAGCAGCATGGATTTGTGTCGTACTAACCTGATGATCCTTTTCATTCTCTCGTCCATGTACAGTAGCCAACATGGTCTTTCTCTTTTCCACAGCATGCTAAATGGACATTTTCATAGAAATATTCCCAAGGATTTTAATGTCTCTTATGTGTGGTACAGGCTGTGCGAGGCTGTGACTGTGCAGGTATCATCAGGGCCGCATTTTTTCCTGTGTGCATTGTTTCATGTTGACCATAATTTTATGTTTTATCAACTGCTACTTCATGCTTATGGGTGGCTTAAGATGCAGTTGTGCTGGTTTTCAGTGCTCATTCCTTGTTCTCTGTGCTGTATTATCTCCTTCTGTTGCACAAATCATTCCCAGTTTTGTTGGCTTTAAGGGGCAATGCTTGTCAAGCAGGACAGAAGGTACTTTGCATACAATTGTTGCTGCAGGGAAAACGTTTTTTCCCCTCTCTCAGTGCCTCATCGTTACTGCAGTCGTGAAGTCATGACTGGCATTTTGAAGCCACAAACAAAGAAAATAACTTTGTGAAGGAGAAGGGGTTTCTGAGTGCCGGCACAGGCAGCACTGAGCGGAGCGTGACTGGCTGCAGCTTCGGAGCGTTTTGTGGGTGGGTGGTTTGGAGGCTTTGGCAGCGGGACAGTAAGTGGTTTCTCAAGAATGGCAGAGAAAGCAGCGAGTGTCTGGGACTGTGTCTGGACTAGCTTTGGGATCGGCCCAAGTGTGGAGGAGAGGCCTTTCATGGATCTCTTGGGTCTTCCCCACGTTGGATTTGGTTACAAAGCTGCTGCTGTAGTCACTTGCTCTTGGAAGTGCTGGTCCCGAGGGAGCCGTCTCCGCAGAGCTGGTCGAAAGGGCGCTGGGGTTTGATGAGGGCCACAGACGAGCCAGCCCTTGTGCCACGGGGCCGATCCCCGGCTGCGCTCTCCTTGTCGGCACCGCTGC